CTATTTACTAATAGTAATTATTATATAATAGTTATATAAGCTATTAAGCTATAGGGCAAAAGATTAGGCTATAATTACTATATAAGTAATTATAAATATACTATAGCTGCCTATAGAAGCCTTATAGCGCTATTACAGGCACAAATCATAACACAAAGCCCTAAATTAAAGTCTTTAACTTTATATTTAAAGTCTATAAAGTCTTAAGAAGTTTTTTAAAAAAGCAGGTTAAGAATACCTATTTCTTTAGAAGCTATTAGGTAAATAAAGCATATTAAAGTAAAATTTACTTTAGTATTAATTAGCTGCTAATTAATTTACCTAAAGGACTTATAGTAAAAAGGGAATTTAGTAAAGATATAAATACAAATCTATAACTTGTAATATTAGAAGTACCTTTTATACTAAATCTAGCCCTTATAAGAAGTATTTCTAATACTATAAATTTGATTTACTAACTTCCTTACTAGTACCTTTATCTGCTAAACGGCTTCTAAAGGGATATATTACTTACTTTACTACTTTGTTTAGCAATGTATAAGTCAGGACCTAAGTAGACTCAACTTATGGCCTTTCTTCCTGAATTACATGTTAAGCAGTCAGACTTAATTGAGATAAACGGCTTAAAGTATTGGGAATATTTAAACAAGAAAGAAGAAGATCCATTTCCCATGCATGGCTAATCCAATGTAAACCGTGAGCCTAGCGCGATCGCGGCCTGCATTAGACTCTCCGAGTAGTGGCTTTGGTTAAAAAAGCATCCAATCCTATGTTTCAGTGTGAAGATACTGCGAGCCGAGACGGCTCTTGCTTAAGACAGTAAGAGATTGTGAAGACATGATGTAATAATCCCTGGCAAATTCTGCAGTAATTAGTGTGATAAATGATAAGCCGCTGTGACACGGCAGAAGTGATAAACGCTAGTGTAGGCACTATTACAATATAACCCCTGAATAAATGTCAGTGGACCAGCTAGTTGGGGTGGTGAGGGTCATTTGTAGCCATTCGGAAGACCTACCATATTAGACTTTAGAAGATCTGATTAGCTAGCTAGCTTATCGATAAGATCAAACCAGTAGCCAATTAGATGCAGGGATATCAGGGATTAGGGATCCACTGACATTTATTCAGGGGTTGTATTGTATATGGCTCTCTGTGACTTAGCCGAGTTTGGCATACACAGTACTATAATAAGAAAGGTTCAAGCCATCCCTGTGTTGATCCGGTCTGTGCCCCGGGAGTAGTGCTGCGTAGTACTTTATCAATCCAGTAGTAACCAAAGGAGCAATTCAGACTTACTTCGATCGGACGGAGTGCGCTATGAGCCCTGACTTTCAGCTAACCAGGCTAGCATCCCCTGGCAACAATGAACAGATCAAGCCAAGATCGTCACATTCACCAATTAGCATTCACTTGGCGGTTGCTACGATCTCGGCTCACCCGGAAAGAAAGCTTTCGATGAGGGGCATACACAGAAGTATGTCAAAACTTACTATAAATTGACTAGATAGAACCAGGGCGAGGCAACCACAAGCCATTAGCCGTTCTGCTAGCCCAAAGCCTTATTACGTTAGCTGTTCACTCGTATTGAGAACCAATCAGTTCGTTGACCCAGATTTGAAAAGATCACGGGACATTATGTCCGGGATTCGGGCGGCCGTTACCCGAACTAGTTATCTGGGGTATCGAGATGTTTGCAAATGCATGTGATGGCTGACTGGATATGTGCTGTTGTTAGGCAATTAATCATATTTCGAATATTGTCCATTATAAGCTTGTTTTAAGACACTTTATACTGCGCGTCTTGGTCCCTAATACTGAAATTGAAACCCATCGAGGCAAATCGTGGAACGCTAGAGTTCTAGTTAGTTGATAGTATCCTTTAGTGTCGATCTCCAAACTCGCGCTTTACTCCGAGTGCTCAGGGATCATATTTGACATCTCAGTTAAGCACCAATGACTTTCCTAAAGTGGAGAATATCTCCCTCTCGACTTTGGGGATCCTATATTAATAAAGTTTTGCTATAGGAACACCCGCAACGGGTACCTTATCCCTAGTATGTAGATTTCGCTGAGTGTATGGGTGTCTTCCTGAGCCGCTGGTCGACAATGATCACCCGCAACTCGGTTTGCTTTTGCCACGCTTGACAGGTATCTTGACTGTGGATACTTTATAGTTTGTCACATCTGCGGCCGTTCTACTTGACGTGATGATAACTTCATAAGAACCGAGCCCAGCCCTTGGACTTTCAGGTTTTCGATCTCTTAGATTCTTTCTGATCATTCATTCTTACCCTTTATCTTATACAAGAACATGGATTATCAACTCGACAGATTCGCCCACTCGGATTACCTTTCTCCGGGTCAAAATGATAACTCACAGGCACCCCAATCAGCCTTACGTCGCTGGACAGCCCTTGAGCAGTAAGCTTGATGAACTGTGCTTTGCATGACTCATAGCTGACATTACAACAAGAGATTTTGCAGAAGCAGGTGTATCCAGCGTCTTCCAAGATACCAACATGCATGCTTGTGTCGATCCAGATCCTAGTCTTGGCTGGAATAGCGCTTCCAGCCTTGACATTGATCTCAATCTGAGCCCTTGTCCAACCTTGAATGACGCTCCCAGATTCGATGTCGACTTCACACTGAGTTCTTGTTCTAGCTTGAATGATACTTATACCACGGACTTGGGCTCAGGCTTAGGTTTCGACGTTGGTTTTGGCCGATGTCAGCCTCGCATGGTGCCTGTACCGAGCCAGTCTGAAGCGGGGTCTCTATCAAGTCACTGGGGCTTTGCCTTTCCCCCATTTCAACCGCAAATGCTCCCCGAACTCGATCGGCATCCGGTTGAGTGTGCGGATAACGGTGTCTCAGGAGACTTGCCTGAATGGGATCAAACGTCTACGCTAAATGCGCCCCAGTCTCCAAAAACCATCTTCAGTCATACATTCAGTAAAGGTAGGACCGGCACCTCTCTGTACTTCATCCATCGGTATCAATTAACGTCCATAGGTACTGAAACTGGTACTACCAAAAGCTCGCCATCTGACATTGATGGTCTTTTTCGCTACCCATGTGCCTATCCAGGCTGTAGCAAGAGTTTTAAAAGAAAGGAGCACTCTACACGACATTATAAATCGTAAGCAATAAAGTCTTGAATGATGATTACTGGACTGATGAATATGAAGACAGCACTTGGATACAGCAGAATACTTGATCTGCGAGTTTTGTGGCAAGGACACCTTTAACCGCAAAGATAACTTGAACGCCCACCGGAAACTTCATGCAAGGAGGCGAAAAAAGGCAACCGGTGTTCATTTCGTGCCAGAGGCTGTAGTGGCGATGGAACATGATCGTCAGGCGATGAGGGGCAGGGTACAAATAGGAACTAGGCGAAACTGGATGGCTGCTTCTACTAGAGCGTAAAAAGAGTTTAGTGGTCTTTTTCTTCGCAGATAAGAGTAGCATTATAGCATGTCATTGGATAATCTCACTAGTCTATGTCTTCTCAACCTTTGATGGCGCAGTTGTTCTGCTAGACAACTAATGCTTAGTGCCCATGTGTGTACCTGTTGTACCCTTTCTTGCCGTGCGCCGGTGCAGTTGGCCCATTCATTATCCCCGTAAACTGAGACTATCCAATCGCATTTAACCCTTATATGAGCTAGCATATACGCTGGGAGACGGTCTAAATACCAGAACCAACGGCACAATGTATGCGGTCCAAGCTCAAGCTGTACACAGTCGTGCAAGACTTACATGGAAAGGGAGGGGATTTTCCAAACCCTGCAACACGCTACATCCCGAGTGTCACAAGGGCTGATCAACCCACGAGGTCCACAGTAAATCCAAATATCAGGACTCCATGCTGTGCCCAGTTCAGCAGTTCAAGATCTCTTGAGACTAGTTGCTGCTCTTCATTCTACAGATGTAATGACCCTAGAGAAGGACAATTTGAGCCGATAGCCGATTAACACAGTCGTATGACAGGGCAAATAAAACAACGCAATGAGAAGATGAAAAAGGCCCGAGCTCAGGGGATTAAGTCTCAGAATCCCATCTATTGTTCGGTAGTCTCATTCCCTGTAAGGCGCCAAATCCTCTAATGCGAGGTAAATCTGAGATGGATCCAGGCGCAGGAACCCATGGGTGCATGTTGTTTCCCCTCCCAGATACCCGCGTGCTAGGGATGCTGTTCCCTAGGTCGATCTTTCGGAACACGCGGCTTAACACTGGACCGTTTACTACGTAGTTGCGTATACCTACCTATCGCAGGACCTCAAGCCCGCACTTGACGAGCTAAATCGTTCGGCGAGCGGTGATACGGACTTTGACGCCGTTGCGGGATTAGCTTGTAGATATCCTTAACCCGGATCGGACATCTGTTAGTGGATCAGATGTGCTACGTTTTGAACTACCCATTTATGGCTAGCGCAGTGCAGCCATAGCTGAAACATTTCTCCAACCAGGAAAAAAAAAAGAATATCGTGTTGTCATTCATTATCTGTGTTCGCAGCCTAAAGCTTAACCTTATAGGCCGCAGTCATCCCATAGAAACATTTCTCCAATCATCTGTCCCGGAAGTCAATTGACTTGTCCGGCGATCGATTGTCGTTCGAGTGGCTTGTCACAAAAACACTCTAGACTTCAGAGGTTCATCTCTGGCGACGTCATTGTAAATCGCCTCTTGTCACAGCTTCACTATTACATATCTTGAAGACAAATTATGTCTCTTGAATTTTAATGTGATTTGTAAAACCACTATATATAGAGGCCCTTATTAACTTAATATTTAAATAAAATAGAGTAGTATAAATAAATATCTAACTTTAAAATTCAGTTATAAGATAAGGAATTATAATTAAGGATAGTAAGAAAAGTAAGTATAATTTCCAAGGAGGATTTGTTCCTAGACACTTATAATTATCTGGGTGTCCCTTGACCTATATCTAAATTGATAAAAATCGATGTCTCAATCCACACAGTCTGAGTTTGAATCAGAAGTTGGTCAGAACCAACGCGATAGATCCAGCCACAAACGCGGATAGACCAACAATCTTGGCAGAGGGGTTGGAGGCTGCAGAAGCGTACTGCGGGTGATCCGAGGGGATTGGGGTAGTATTTGAGCCTGGAGTAGAGCCAGAACTACCAGCTCCAGCTCCAGCTCCAGAGCCAGATCCCGAACCTGAACCGGAGCCTGAACCGGAGCCTGGAGCCATGCCACTTGGAGCCGAGCCACCTGGAGCAGAACCGGAGCCAGGGCTAGAGCTAGAGCCAGAGCCGCCGGGAATGATAGGGGGCAGGGCAGTGCTTTTCGTCGGTCCAGCATTATTCTGGCTGGTATTGCCTGAAGGCGAGTTGTAGCCGGAAGCATGAGGTTCAAGAGTCGCCCCAGGAATCATATCAGTGGTGATGATAGGGAGTGTGTGTGTTTCTGTACACTCCGAGGAGACCGCGTTGGTTGCGGAAACAGCTCCATGAAGGAGAGGGAGAAGGAAGATGGCAGACAGCTTCATGATGAGTTAAGTGCCTGAGTTCCAAGGTATAAACGAGTGGCAAGAAGTTGGAGGATTTGATAGCTTCCAGGCTAATGGTAACGCCGTTCACTCTTATGTTTTTATACTGTTTCTTTGTCAAGCCCTGTCACTGAGGTGATCTGGTCAACATGAAGAGCTACCGTGAACGGTTACCGCTATGTAGCTAGAATAGCGACGAGATTGACGCAAACAGCGCGCATTGAGGGAATTAGATCTTGGCCATGAGTAAGTGGAGTAGCTGAAAAGACCCTCTGATACGAGGAAACAAGTCTCTCAAGGCGCGGTAAGTTAGACGGACCTGCCAACATAGATCCCTTGTCGTGAAGGAGTACAAGGTTTGGCGTACGTATGCCCAAACTCTATTTTATCGTGAGGTTGACCGTTGAAACGACTGTTGGGCCTTACGAGGAGGCCACAAGTCCCCGATTTCGTGTCTATAAGTCATTAGTGATCAAAAGTGGGACCAAGGGCCTGAGACAATCCAAAGTCTAGAGCCCTGCCAGTCAAGGCACGCCCAAGGCGAGGCTCAGAAGCTCTCTTGGCCAATAGAGAGCCCGCAATCTTGATTTGAAAACTTTGAACCCAGAAATTGTAATACAAGCCTAATAGGCTTAGGGGTAAAGACTATTAATATGGGGTTTGTAGAAATTATAAGAAGGAAAGATTTATCACAAAAAATTTAAACTCTCACCTCAAGCATAATCTTCACTTAGTCACTCGTTCTCACTCTTCGCTCACTATCTTATTTATTTCCAATTCACTCTCATTCACCTCCAAGCCATGCATCTGTTCTCTCTCGGGAAGGGTGCGGCTTTGGGCCTTGCGGCCGGCATTATGGCTGCTCCTGGTCCCCCTGCCTGTCCACCAGACACTGGAACTCATGTTGTAGTCCAGCCTTATTGCGTTGTTCAGGATGGCAAAACAACAACCACAACCATTACACGTACCTTCACTGATAAGTCGTGGTACACTATGGTTGGAACTGCGTCGCAGCCCTACAACTCAATGGCCTGGGGCTATCCTGGCAGTCCCGGGTCTCCTGGGTCTCCTGGTAGTCCCGGGTCTCCTGGGTCTCCTGGCAGTCCTGGTTCCCCTGGCAGTCCCGGTGGCAGTCCTGGTTCCCCTGGCAGTCCGTCCCGGGTCTCCAGGCTCTGGGCCAGGTTCTATCCCCTACCCAGTTTGTCATGGATGCATTACTGTTACGACCACTGGACCTACCGGTTATGTCACTACTCTTCCACCAGACTCTGTGGGGGGCAAGAGTATTGTAATTGTATGCAATGGCCCGGAAACCGTCACGGTGCCTGGTCCCCATTGCCATCAATGCGCTACTGTCACTACCACTGGACCTGTCGGCTATGTCACCACTGTTCCTCCCGCCTCTACAGGTGGTAAGAGCACTGTTGTTGTATGCAAGGGCACAAAGACTGTCACGGTGCCCCCTCCACCTTGCCATAAATGCGCCACTGTCACGGTTACTGGATCTGTGCCTTACTGCTATACTGTTCCCCCTGTCTCGTCGACGGGCGTGAGCACTGTTGTTACGTGTCCTGGAAGATCTACTGCATTCACCACAGAAACAACCACCGGATCTGTTCCTGGAACAACTACAATTCCACCACCCCCAGGATGCCTGACGTGTACTGGTACTGTCCGTGTTACTGTCCCCCCTGGAGGCTATACTACCGAGACTGTTACTGGTTCTGTTCCTGGAACCACCACGATTGCCCCGTCGTCCGGGTGCCTAACCTGTACTGGCACTATTCGTGTGACCGTTCCTCCTGGAGGTTATATCACTGAGACAGTCACTGGCTCTGTCCCTGGCACAACCACATTCCCACCCTCTTCGGGATGTCTGACGTGCACTGGTACTGTCCGCGTTACTATTCCTCCTGGTTACATTACCGAGACAGTCACTGGAAGTGTTCCTGGTACAACCACAATCCCACCTTCCTCGGGGTGCCTAACCTGCACTGGCACCGTTCGTGTGACACTACCTCCTGGAACATATGTCACCCAGACAGTCACTGGTTCTGTTCCCGGCACAAGCACTGTTACTCCTGACTGCTATACCTGTACGGGTACTATCCGTGTTACTATTCCCCCTGGAGGTTATGTAACCCAGACAGTCACTGGGTCTGTTCCTGGCACAAGCACTATTACTCCGGACTGCTATACCTGTACAGGCACCATCCGTATCACGACCACTAATTCATCGTCCCCTGGACCGACAGTTACCACCATTACTCGAACAGGCTCAACAACCGGCTTAACTACTATTCCTCCTGCCACAAGCGGTGGCACAGCTACAGTCATTACATTTGTTACATCTACTGCTGTCCCTCCCACTGGACCAGTTACTACGGTTACTCAGACTGCCTCCACAACTGGTTTAACCACAGTCCCTCCCGCTAGCACTGGCGGCACAGCTACAGTCATTACCTTTGTTACAAGCACTCCAACAGGAGGTCTCACGACTATAACATCTACCGGAACTGGTACAGGCCTGACTACGCTCCCTGCAACTAGTGGTGGCATAACTACAGTCGTTACCTACGTGGCCTCTTCTACCGTTCCGTCTGGTGGGCTTACGACTGTGACATCTACCGGAACTACAACTGGTTTGACAACTCTGCCCGCTACTAGTGGCGGCATTACCACGGTCATCACCTTTGTCACTACTTCTTCTATCCCTCCTGGTGGTCTGACGACTGTAACGTCCACTGGAACTGGTACCGGTCTGACCACGCTGCCTGCTTCTAGTGGCGGCACAACTACAGTTGTTACTTATGTCAGGTCTTCTGTCCCCCCCGGTGGTCTTACTACTATCACCTCAACAGGTTCAACAACTGGTGTTACAACCCTCCCTGCTACCAGCGGCGGAACCACTACGGTCATTACCTTTGTTGCTTCTTCTTCTTCTGCCCCCCCTAGCGGTCTAACGACTATAACATCTACCGGAACTAGTACAGGCGTGACCACTCTGCCTGCTACTAGTGGCGGCATCACTACGGTCATCACATTTGTCACCGCTTCTTCTTCTGTCCCACCTGGTAGGCTCACGACCATCACTTCAACAGGTACAACAACTGGTGTAACAACCCTGCCTGCAACAAGTGGTGGCACTACTACAATCGTTACCTTTGTCACTTCTTCTTCTTCTTCTGTTCCTACCGGAGGTCTTACAACTCTTACTTCAACAGCTTCAACTACTGGTATAACAACCTTGCCTGGCGGTGGTCCCACAACAACTGTCATCACCTATGTTACCGCTTCTTCCGTCCCCCCCGGTGGTCTCACGACTGTCACCTCGACAGGTTCAACAACTGGTGTAGCAACCCTACCTGCTACTAGTGGCGGCACCACTACAGTTATTACCTATGTGACACCATCGTCTATCCCCCCGGGTGGCCTTACGACTGTTACGTCCACTGGAACTGCTACTGGCGTATCTACCTTCCCACCAGCTACCAGTGGTGGTACAACTACAGTTGTTACCTACGTGACATCGTCGTCTATTCCCCCTGGTGGGCTCACAACTGTCACTTCGACAGGTTCAACAACTGGCTTGTCCACAATCCCACCTGGTCCCAGCGGTGGCCCAACTACGATCATTACCTATGTCACTACTTCTTCCATGCCCCCCGGTGGCCTCACGACTCTTACCTCAACTGGTTCTACTACAGGTTTATCCACAATACCGCCAGCTACTAGCGGCGGCACGACTACGATTGTTACCTATATTACTGTACCTACCGGAGGGCTCACGACATTCACTTCTACTGCTTCAACCACTGGTGTGACAACTCTACCTGCTACCAGTGGCGGTATAACAACTGTTATTACCTATGTTACTGTACCTACAGGGGGTCTTACAACCTTGACTTCTACTGCTTCAACTACTGGTGTAACAACACTCCCAGCTACTAGTGGCGGTACAACAACAGTTGTTACCTATATCACCTCTTTAATCCCCCCTACGACTACTGTTTTCACCACAGGTCCAACACCTGGCACAACTACACTTTCCGTGTCTTCGGGATGTACGACTTGTACCCAGACGGTTGTCATTACTAGTTCTACAGTTGGACAAAGTAGCAGCGTATCTACTGGCAGTAGTATTGGCAGTTCTGTGAGTATCCCTACTGTCACAATCACTGCAACAGCTAGCACTACTGGCCTTACTACTTTACCATTTACAAGCGGTGGCACAGTCACAGTACAGACCTTCGTCACTCTCTCCGCTAGTAGCAGCATGCCTCCTAGTAGCAGCACCAGCAGTAGCCCATTGAGCATTCCTACTGTCACAATCACCAGAACAGATACTACCACTGGCCTTACAACCCTGCCTTTCACATCAGGTGGTACAGTGACAGTAGAAACCTTGGTCACTGTCTCTTCTTCTATTCCAGCCTCATCTTCTGGTATTTCTTCCTCTTCAGGCTCTTCTTCTGGCATTCTTTCAAGCTCTGCCTCAAGTACTTCTTCTACTTCGCCAGGTATCTCTTCGAGCTCTATCTTGAGTAGCTCAAGCTCTTCAAGCTCTACTTCTAGCATTCCTTCCAGTTCCTCACCAATTACTTCTTCATCTCTTGCACCAAGCACCTCAAGCTCTGCATCAAGTACTTCTTCTACTTTGTCAAGTACCTCTTCCAGCTCCAGCACCAGTAGCTCAAGTTCTTCAAGCTCTTCTTTAAGCCTTCCTATTCCATCAACGCCACCAGGCGCTTGTTATTTCCCGCCCACCGATACAAACTGCGCCGTATCTGGCCTAACTCTCAATTACTACGGCAACCCGACGGATCCAAATCTCGCGTATGGCGGATATACCAATGATTCTAGTAGCCCCACTGGAAACAGACCGCTTGGTGTAGGCCCTAGTTACTATATTGGTCAGCCCTCCCTTGCTCAGGGGTTAACGTCGTCCTTGAGTGTGCCGGCCCGCCCCCGTTCATGCGCTGGAAACTACACATCAATCCAATACCCCGAGATCAATTTTGACTACTACTGCCCCACCGCTACTCAAACGTACGGTGGAATAACCTATAACGCCAATAATTTTACCCTGGTATTTACAGGATACATCGTACCTCCTACAACTGGACGCTATATTTTCTGTTTTCCAATCGACGGAAGCGGAAGAACCGACAATGCTGCTGCCGTATTCCTCGGATCTTCCAGCGCATTTCCTTGCGGCCAACCTTCTAATGTAGCCAGCGTTGCCGCAGCAAACCCGCTGCTTCAAACCAACTGGGCCACAGCCGTGGCTTCTTCTTGTGCTTCAGTGGACCTGGTTGCTGGGTTTTTCTACCCTATCCGAAATGTTTTTGGTAACTACGGTCAGCCGTCACAACTCAATCTAGTATACCAAGCCCCTGGTTCGTCGACCAATACCTCCGATGTGGGTGCAATAGCATACCCCAACACATGCTAGGAAGACTCGTGTTAGTGGGTTACCTACTTCGACACCGAGTTTAATTTAGTTGGCACTGCTCATGGAACAGCAGGTTGGTTAACATTACTATTTATGTTTTAGGTGCCTGCTAGGTATTTCAAGTTCTATAGACCTATAGTTATAGTATTTTATCTTTCTTTCTATATATTTACTTTTTCCTTAAAAAAGTATTTATTTAGACTATTTTTTTAATAAAGTTTTTTTAAATAAAATATTTTTTAAAGAATAAATATATTAAAGTACTATAGTTTTATTAATTTAAGTATTATTAATATAATATAGTAATAAATATAAAGTAAATTTATAATAAATAAAGTTTTCTTAAATTATAGTTATTACTTTATGTTTACTTTATATCTATATATAACCTTTTATATATATTATTAAGACTTTTATATAAAGTATAAAAGATAAATAAGTATAATAAAGAGAGAGATATTTCTAACTTATGCTAATATTAGTCTAATACGCTGAGATAATAATTGCCAAAGCAGCTTACTAATAGAACTAGATTTCTTTACTAATTAGAAAATATTCCTCGTTCTGAGGCTATCTAATAGCAATCTTGGATTACCCAATAATACAAGGTGCTCAGAAAGCAATAAGTCCAGCTAAGATAGCCGTTTTGCTAAAGGCATTAGTAATGCTAGAGGCTCTATTGATGATAATTGGAGTAATTTGCGACAGACTTGAAGCACCTGATATAGATCTAGCGGCTTAAGTATTGATACTAAGAGTCTGAGTCTCAGGAACTGATTTTTTAGCTGCCAGCTGAGGACGAGACTGGTCGGGCAGGGCGGGAGAGCTATCCTATGCTAATCAGACCCAGATGGAGTGGACTAAAGTGACTTTCCCTTTGACGAAGAAACATCGAGTATAGATATTATAGCCGCAGTCGGCTTGGAGATAACTGACGTAGCTGCACAGAGAAGTCCATTAGTTAACACACAACTGGAGGGCAGTTTAGTGCCTATAACTGGAGCTCTATTTTGGATAGGAATTAGAGTTTCGTTTCGTTGGGGGTGTGTTGGTATCCGGTCGTGATGGGGACGCTTGCAGTGGCTTGCACGAGCTTAAAGACAGGAATGTGGATGTTAGGCGGAAGATTTGATGCGATTATTAGAGTACGAGCGCAGCGAGGAAGAGCCCTCCGCTAGGAGCCCCCGGAGGGATACCTGACCCGTACTGATTGCCAGGTGAGGCCGTCCACGAAAGGCTTAAGAACTACATGAAAGTTCAAGTATAGGTCACACCGCTAGCATACAAGGGTGGCATTTTCTATATTACTGAGTACGGTCTACTAAGAGAACATATCTTTGATTATTCGAGGTTTGAATGTATCCAGGCTAATTGATTATGTGCTTGATTCGGGCTAAGATGGTGACCATGGTCTTGGTGCTGGCTTGTTCACAGTGGATAGTTCGGGAATCGCATCGCATCACTGACAAGTACCTTACAATGTAATCGAACTGTGTTTTCCGTCGTCGCGTTGTTGAGGTCGAATACTTGTTCGGGGGAGCATGCCCTACGGAGCCCAGAATGCATAACTTAGAAGCACCGCTGGAAATGGCAAACAACTGAAATACTACAAAAGTCAACCTGTCTGAAACCTGCATGACCTCTGCCTGATATATTGTTCTCGCAGATAATCTTAAGTCGGGGTTATAGTACGTAGAGAAAGAAGATTTAGGTAAGTGTAGTATAGCCTAGAGTAAGTTCAGTGGATATAGCATTCCATTCATAGTAGCAGTTCTCTTACCCCAACGGAATACCGACAGAGCAAAGTTTAAGATAGGCTCACATCTGCTGGCCCAAGCTTCTCATATCCACAAGAATCTCCACACATGCGGTATAAGATTAGCGAAGGGAAGCAGACTAGACCTGCGGGACCATGTGGAGCGTGTGGTCGTGGGAGACTTGGCCTCGCGTCGTTGGTCAAATTCGAAACACAGCAAATGTCCTTGCTCAACTTAGTAGAGTGAGCATAAAAACCAAATTTGGCTTACGGTTCTGTCCCTCGTCAACTAACGCAAACAAATGACTGCAATGACCAATCATTTCTGAGCGAGTGGGGTAGGAGATGCAAATCACGTAGCCCCAAAGAAGTCAGTGTATCCGAATAAACGGAATGGTTCATAGAGGACCTCTCTCGGCAATCGTCATCTTCAATCGGGAATTGGTTAATTTTTGAACGTACTCAAAGGATTGTGCGTTTTCCGAAAACAGAATGCCACGTGCCCAACTTATGCTTATTGTCAGAGGACCAATGGCCGAGAGCGGGGTGTCCGGATCCGGAATGTTTCCGTCTTGACTGTTGGGTAAGGAAAGAGGGACCTGTATTCCTGTGGTGGGGCGGTGAGGACTGAGGTTGTCCGCCCGACCAGAGACGCACAGAAGAAGTTTCGAAATCGCTAAATTGGTAGAGAATCGACAAGGCCAAGAGTGCTACGAAGAGGTTGCGCTGTCCCTGCGCAGCAGACTGCGCCGAGGCGAGAGCATTTCAGCGATATTGGTATTATAGAGTGTCCCCTTGAGAGCGTTGATAGACGTTATTGAGGGAAGTGTTACGAATCGGTGGCCTCGAGCAGCCTTGTACCTGTTCGCAGTTGGCATTTGTGATGGGTATGTAAGACCGTGCCTCTTGATGTGTAGGCAAGACGGTAAGCGGATGCGTCCATGATGATGCCAAGGCTGTGACACAGGATATTCAATTCTCCAAGTGTTATAAAAAGTACGTTGTAAGGTTGAGGCAATGGCCTGGAAGGGAATGAGGAAGTGGCGCCCTTGCGTTGCAGCGGTGTTTTATGATGTGTTAGCGGAATCGGTCGTGGGTCAAAATGTTTCTTCTAGAAGGTGAACGCGTGGGCATGGCTGGCCAAGTGGCGCGCTCAGCTTTCAGTTTTAAGTAATATCGAAGGTTTGAGTGGAGAATGGCAGGGAAGTATTGTAAAACATTGAGGGGCATTCAACTTCGATGGTAGTAAGGGGTCAGAGATCAATCTGGTGGAGGCCCATTTTGTCGTCGATTCGTTGATGTGTTATTAGAGTATCTTGGCCCAGGGAATTTGCCGTTCTGGGCAGGTTATAGCAGTAAGGACGGGGTCAGAGGTATCTTGAGATAGGATTTTGGGTAGCTTGAACAGGCAGAACTTTGCTGTTTATAGAGACAAGTCTATGGAATTGTTTCTCGGAGCCGAAGTGATGATAGCGGTTACCGGTATGTCTCTGTGCTGAGCGCGACGTTAAGGGACCCCTAGCTTTCCAGCTCCTGGTGATAGGAAGCATAAATCAGGGGGCTTGCGTAAATGAGCATTGGCTCATCATGCGGGTAGAAATTCTGGCCTCTTAGATTAGGAGAAACGTAGGAGTCTTTGTTCATCGCAGCAGTCCAGCCCGTCTAAGATTGGTCAGACTTGTGATCTGGACTTAATATCCTCGGGGCTCCCGTTCTTCGGGCAGCGTCATCGGTAGAGTCAGCATCAGACGTCTTTTGAGGCATGAATTTATGGAGCTCTCGTGAAAGTTGTAGGCTGGCTTCAATTTCGGATTTAGGCGTTGCGGGAGGCTTCTCGATGTTGGTTCGAAACTGGTTTCGTAAGCGATCGGATTCGAATGGTAGTCTCGACGGCGGTTTCGGTGTTGCTTTCTGGGAATAGCTTAATGGAAGGCTTTAACGCCTACATCTTGGTACCTGTGATCCCGATATTAGACATTGTGAGAGGAGAGGGGGAGTCTGGACGCGTAGGAAGCTCATTTGGGTGAAAAGGAAGAAACGCTTGGCCACTCCCATAGCAACAATCTGAATCATTTCCACCTGGCAAGGATTGCCTCAAATTGTTCCGATGACTCTGAGGTTTGAATGGTTGTCAGCCGTAGTAGAAGCCATTCGGCTTGAAACCGAGGGTCAAGTCGTCCGAAGGACCTCCCAAACGGAACTTTGAAGTTGTGCTGCTTTTGGGGACCGAGACGATCTCATTGGGCCGTTCAATCATGATTGTAACAGACAAATTGCTACGCAGAGGTATATTCGACATGCGATTGCATTCTTTGCAGCTGCACACGTGTTCAGAGGGGCTCGGACTTAAGCGGAGGGGTACAGGGTTCTGTGCCCTTCGGTTGTGATTGACACAGCGCACTCTTTCCTCTCTGACGCCAAACGACAGCATGCTTCTACATCGAGAGTTACATCTATGTTCTCTCCTCGACAAGTTTTGTATCGCTGAGTCTCGCCCCAGACACTTTGTCGCGTCCAAGGTCTACCATTAGGGAGGTATCATGCAGAGGGGGGGCGTCGATCGCGCTGGTTACACTGGAGATGGAGGGTCCGAGGCGAATGGAATGAAGGTGCAGGCTAACTTGGTGATGAGTTGACGGTGCACTCTTATTGCCGAGCTCGTGACATTCCGTTTGTGGTTGCCATGATGCAAGGAGTCAATACAGTCAAAATATGCTAGACCAACCACTTCAATGTCACTCAAAATACATCATTCGAACAAGGTACAACCATTAGCCGGCCTGCGACCTCCATTGAAAGGGGTTCTTAGACCAGAAGGTAAGCTTCAGAAAGAATATACAGCAATGCCGAGGTGTATGATGCGGACCGTTAGACTGATTGAAGCTGCATATTGAATACTTGCCACTTGCATCGAAGTCTAAATACAATACAAGTCTGATTCAATCGCGTTTGATACTTGTTCATGAAGAGAGCGGATTGCTTGGGAAAATTGTCATCAAGTTGCTACTTAAATGGGATAAAATATCAACGGGATTGACCATTTTGAAAGCAAAAGCGTTGTGTATAGGGTAGTGGTCGACAAGGAAGGTCATTCGGATTGACTGTTCAACTTGGTTGGCATTGACAGGTGGAGAGAAGACGATTACATGGAGCGAAGACGATTACGACGATGTCAGCGAGAATCTAAAAGTGGTAAGGAGTGTCACATTCCCATCACACGTCTCGCAGGTGATAAAAAGTATCG